ATACTGAAAATATGATAATCATAATGAAATACTGAAATACTGGAATATGATAATATTAATAAAATACTGAAATACTGAAATACCGAAAATATGATAATCATAATAAAATATAAAATTTTCCAAAAGAGAAAAGAATTCAAATTTATTTTTCCTTTATATGGGCGTTATGCGAATGGCAAAAGAAAAACATGAAATTAACGAAAAATTGAATGGAAAAAGATGAAATGACAATTTATTGTATGATATTATCAAGAAGAAAGATAGAAATGAAATATCCTATAATCATTTCCTATTTTTCATCAAAAATTATTTTCATTTAAAAGAAAGAAGAAAAATGAGAATTTGAAAAACGATGGATAAATTTGAAGTGATAAAATGAAATGATAAAATTGTGATAAATTGATAATATTTGATATAAAGAAGTATCTAAAAGGATAGATGTTATATTTTTGAAAAGTTTTAATTCAAATAAAATTTTCCTTTTCAAAATTTCATTATAACTTAATTATAATTTATATATAATTGATTGTTTATTTAAAATAATGAACTGAAAATTTAAACTTTGTAAAATTTAAATTTTAGTTTGAGAGAGAAATTTGCTATTAATTGAAATTAGAAATGATTGAAACTTTTAGAAATGAATGGTAGTTGAAAAAAAAGAACGATATTATCAGTAGTGATTGTGCACTGATAACAATTTTCATTTAATCATTTTATTATCAGCTCAGTTATAATACTGTAACAGTTTGGTAATGTTAATTTGATTTTATCAGTAATATTTTGAAATAATCACTTTTACTCTGTATCATTGCTTTTTTCATTCAATACTAATACTTGCGATTATTTAGTACCTAAATTATCTCAAACTGAAAATGAAATTATTTGTTTTAGAATATTTCATTTTCAATGGTACTAATGAAAAAAAGTTATCTAAGAAAATGTTTGAAAATTTCTAACAAAGCATATCATTTTGTCACTTAGAGAATTTAATTCATTCGTTACTGTATCTTACAAAATAAAATATTCTTCTCAAAATTGGAACTTAAATTATTTATCCAATTATTCCAATTATTGCAATTAGTGTTTATCATAAGATTTAATGAAAAATAATAATAATAAATGCAAATAATTTAATTAATCATCTTAAATAGAAATCATTATCAGATCAAATATATCATAATTATATCAATTTATTGTAAGAAATAGCGTAGAACTCATTATCAGATCAAATATATCATGCTTGTATCAAATTATTATAAGAGATAACGTAGAAATCATTATCAAATCAAATATATCATATATAAATTTGGACAAAAACTCGAAGCATAGTAAGTAATAATAAAACTAAATAATGAATCAGTAATATCGGCTGTTTTCTTCCTTTTAAGTAAACATAAAAAGAAGGTAAATGATGAATAATTCAAGATTTTCGATGATTCATCGTCATCAAAAAATAATTCCTTCTTGATTTGGTTAAATCCAACAATCTGTATGGTTTATCATCATCAAATAACGGCGAACAATATTTACTTCATATTATCAGATCAATTATGTTCAATGAAATCAATAAATTTAAGTAAATATATTTTTAATAAAATTATCAATTATCGGTTGTATCAATTTCAAATGAAATTTTTGTATATAATTTTACATACTTAATCCGTATTTCTTATAATCTACTTTGTCCATTTTATATCACACTTCTATTTTTCTGATGGAATTTATTTTAATTCTGTTCTATATTCAGGATGGAATTAAAATCGATCATATCGATCACTATCAATTTGTTCAACAACCAATTGGTAAACTTTAATCGGTTTTACTCTCTTCATCTTCCACTAATCATAAAATGAAATTCCTGAATTTCACTATCATTCCGCTGCAAAATAATAATTTTCCTATTTAATCACAACGAACGTGATGTTTCGGGGAGTGAAAGAAGATGGAAAATGATTGCTTTATTCAATCAATAATATTGCTATCAATTAATTTTCTTGATCTTTGAATGGATAAGTTATTGTGTAGCATAAACAAGTTTTTTCCATCGATTTCAACGCATACATTATTTGCCCCTTTTTTAACCTTTAACCTTTGATTTGATTGTTTAATAGTGGTAGATAGCGAATAAATCATTCTTACAGCAATAAACCACATTTTACAAATTCTTTCGGAGCGGAAGTAAATTGTAAATATAATTTTTCCAAATATCTTGCAACATGACATATATGATCTAAAGAAGTGACGACTATATGACCTATAAATATGATATAATTAGAGAACAATTGCACATATAGTTGCAACGGACGAAAGTATTGCTCTATTCCGGCTTACTGATTAGACTGATAATTTCATTGATTTCATTTCGAAATTCGGTTTAACAACAAAAAACTGTACAAACGATGAACATGAAATGTATGCCAACTATTAAGAATAATAATTCCTATCCATTGATGTATTACGGTAAATCATAAATGAAGTGCTGTTTCCTGAACTATTTTCACTAATATAGTGACCTATGTATGACCTATGGCTCATCTGCATACATGAATGATTACTAAGTTGAAATGATAATAATGTAGAAGATTGTGATAAGAGCTCAAAAGAATACATTATTCCATCTTGTACTAAAACAATGATAAACTAATAAATCGGAAGTTGAAAACATCAAAGAAAATTTTTAATTTCTTTTTTATTAATTTATTAAATTCAATTTAAATTTTTATCTTTCAAATATTTTTGAGCAAAAACAAGTTCATATGATGTGCTATTGTCCAATTTAAATATCATAAAAATTTTTTTTGACAACAGTTATTGACAGTTTATTTTCTTCACAAAAGTGCGACGCTATAATAAATACAAATAGAAATGATATTATAATTTTATGACATTATAAATTATCAAAAAATATTGAAAGTTTTTGGAAGACATTCATTTTTTCAAATATTTACTTTACATTCATTTCTGATAATTTAATGTCATAAAATTTAATGCCACAAACTTTGTTTGTTTGTTTACAAAAATTAAAATTAATGAAATATCACAAATTATTTTGAAATTTAATATTTTAAAAATATGCATACGCAAATGAGGAAAATACTATTTGATGATATTAAATGAAATGAAATCGTCCCATATCGAAAAGAATTAAAATTCGTTAAAAAACTTTTAGCCTTAAAAGATCAAAGAACAAATACTTCAATTGCTAATATGAAAATTACTCGTAAATTAATTATTTCTCTATTAGAGACATTCTGAAAATGACGTAAAATAATTTGAGTAAATTTTAAAAAATAAAAATTTAAGAAATGTTTTCAGAAACACTGGAAATTTGCTTTCGTTGAATATTCGTTAATTTGCTTTTGTTGAATTTTGGAAAGCAAAATTAATATAGTAAAGGAATGAAAGAGATAAACGGAGGTGAACACTAATTGAGAGTGATCGTCTTAGAAATTTAAATTTCATATAGAAATTTTGGAAGTTAATCAATTTTAAAAAATGTCCCACGAATTTCAAAAATATTTGATGGAAGTGATGAAGTTTGAAATTACTAATTTGATGGAAGCAAAAATGATTTGATGGAAGTGATAAAGTTTGAAATTACTAAAAAGATATTAATTTAATTATATCAAATTAATTAACTTAAATAACTAACTGATCGTTTCAAATATAATTTATGTTTTAAATTTGCTAGTATTTAATTAGATCAAATTAATTCGTTATCGTACTACGACACTCGTAAGTATTGTTGAATACATATATGTCAATTTTTTACTGTTGAAAATTGGAATTTTATTTCTGAAATCCCATTTAATTGACTTAAAGATGAATTATACATAATAACATCAATTTTGCTTTAATAAAATAATAGGAAAATTATGATACTATCTGTAACTGAACAAATAATATTTCCAATAAAAATGAATTTCGATCAGTTAACTGGATTATCTTCCTGAAGAGATAATATACAAAGTTAGATTGAATGATTTATTCGAAATGGAATTCTTTCGTATCATACCATGACCTAATAAGTTATACTTATTAAGTCTATTTAACCGATCGCATCGATGCTATCTGTTTCGTTTCATTTGATAAGCACTTTCGTACTGGTATATTTGCGCCATTTTGACATATATTGCTTTTTCATTGTTTTGCAATTCCATTTCACGAAAAGGTTTAGAGTTCGGAAAAGGATCAGACAAGTTATTGCGATTTGAATGCAAAGTTGATGTATCCGATGATTTCCTTAATTTTCATTTCCGTTTTCGTTTTATTTACTAGAATTCATATATTGATTATTGATCGGTATATGCAAATTAACATTTCAATCCATTTCCGTTTTATTTACTAGAATTCATGTATTGATTGGTATTACACATAATTATTACACATAATCGGTCGATCGGTGATATTGCCTACATAAACCGAACAGTCCTGTATTGCAAAATGTACTAATTTTAAATCACGTTAATTTTCTTCTTACTTTCAAAAGAATAGGGGAAGTAGTTGCTTACATCTTCAACTTCAAAAGTAATTTCAAAACTCATTGCTATACTTATCTATCGATTAAGGATTATCTTGATAGCATTCTTAACTGGAAACGTTAGCGATATATCAGCTAAGGGATAATTTTTCAAATGCTTTCATTGGAAAATAATTAATGAAGAAGCATGCTGAGTTATTGACAAATTTTTCCTATCTAAAACTTTTACCAAAATATTACGACACGTGTGCATGTGCACAGTAGTGTGCGTATGCGTGTGCAAGTGTGTTTGGAAGAAGGGCACGCAGTGCAAGTTTAATTTACCTTTCATCCAAAATTTATGACGTGTAGCCATAAGTGTTCACCATTTATTGATAACGCTTGAAACTACATTTCTATCTATTATGGCCTGCGTCACCTTTCACCGAATAGCAATCATCGGAGAATGTGGGATCCATAAAGGTCACGTATATTATTTTGTTGTTGTTGTTGTTGTTACTAATGGTATGGTAAGACGTATATGAGTACGGGTATGGGCATGGTGTGTGTGTATGAGTATGTATATGCATGTATGTATGTGTATGTATATGTGTACATGTATGCGTGGATATGTGTACATGTGAATATGTATATTTGTAAGTGTATGTGCATGTCTATGTGAATGCATATGTGTATGTGTAGGTGTGTACATGTGAGTACGTATATTTGTATATTTGTATGTGTATGTGCATGTCTATGTGAATGCATATGTGTATGTGTATGTATGTGCATATATGCGTGTATGTATATGTGTATGTGTATGTGGATAATTAATTTCATTCATTATTATTATTATCAGTTATAGAGACCAAATAGGGTGGAAGTGGAAGAGAAAGTCAAGGATGAGGAAAATAGTAACAAGTTTCTTGAAAATTTATCATTTATCCGGTATCGTCACACAGACAATACCGGATAAATGATAAATTGCAGGATAGTGAACGTTGAAGTTGCAGGATAGTGAACGTTGAAGAAAATTCGGAAATCGTAACCAATAAAAGAGAAAAAGATTACAACTTGAATTCAACATCTGATCCAATTAATTATAGACGTTATAGTGCAGCCGATTTCGACGTTCCACCGAATGCAATTATTTTGTAAACAGTTTTCTACTTTATTCGTTCATGGACTTTATTGTCAGAACAGGGGTAGTTTAATACTGTTACCGATATGAATTTCTTTGTAACAATTCTGGTATCATACATTTTTCTAAATTACTCTCTGCTCCTATTTTATGATAAAGCAACGCTAGCTAGCCCTTGCACTCATTTCAGCGTAGTTACTAGGACAGTTTTATATGACTTTGAAAGATATTTATGGACTGAATTACTCATTTTATTCTGGTAATAATAGATGAACATAAATTATTAAAATAGATTGTTTGGTTAGTTTTTTGGTACCATGATGGTTTTAGATATCCACAGCGGAAGCCAAACGTTCTTGAGCAATTGGCGCAGTGCCTGAGAACTGCATGTTGCTGGAAGAAACAGACAATTGGACCGATGAAACTCTCTAAGCTTATTGGTTTGTTTGTTTTTTCTTTCTTTTGATCATCTTCTGTGCTAGCGTGCTATATTTGGTAGCGTCGATGTTGATGACTTCTGATGTTATAAATCTTTGAGGACCTTCACTGACAGTGCAATATAACGATGGCTGAGGTCAAGTTAATTCATTTCTAGTACTATTGTTTTCTTGAGTTATTTTAGGTAAAGGTGATATTGCGCTTTCCTTCAGTGGCTGCGGATTTCTCGGTGTTTATCATTTTGGAGTTCTTCAAGGACTTAATCGCAATGGGAAGGTTGTTTTTATTGAAATCAATAATTTCCATAATTGGCAGAATAAATGAGCAGAAATAAGATAAATTTCAGGCTTTAATGAAACGAGTAAAACGTTGTGCAGGTGCATCAGCAGGTTCTCTGGCAGCTGCTTTATGGACATTTCAACCTGAGGATACTGAGGTTACTTGGAATAAATGATTCTCTCATTGTGATGCCAAGATTATAATAGCAAGCTAATCGTTTTGAGAGCATTCTTTCATAGGGTTGCTTTGAACATCTGGAGGATTTTACAAAGGATTGGAGAGTTTTACATTGGACTGTGGAAGTAATGTGAAAAAATCACTGAAACTAATAACTTTTTTGCATTCAATAGATTTGCAAACATTACTTATAGTTTGGAACATGGTTTATCATGAGTATTAACTGCCATTTGATGAGGATCGATATAATTTATTAATTTAGTATGAGCAATATAGTTTATTTTCTTCACTAAGTTGCTTTAAATTAAATAAATCCTTTCACAGATGTTAAAAGGAATTAGCATTTATCAATCTAAATCTGTTCCTAAGTACTTAGCTCTTTTATATGACTAAACAGACTACTATGTATTGTTTTAGTGCATAATTTTGCAGCAGCTGCATAAAGGTTTTAATGATGTGATCAAAATGGCCACCGAAATCCATTCATTACGATTTGGTGCGCTATCACCAAATTTCGCACTTCACAAAAGTTTGCAAAGAATTATAGATCTATATATTCCGGAGGATATTTCTAATGCACAAGACAGACTTTACATATCTCTTACTGATCAGAAGGTTAAATTTTTGCTCTTACAAAATGTTTTATTTAATCTCAATTATGAAAAAATTAGACATTAAAAAACGTAGGAGAAAAGATATCCGTGATGTGAGAGTCAGAGGAATATTTTCACGTGATTGCTGTCGTAAAATGTTGGCATGTCAGCAACATGTTTTGGCACAGATTGAAATATTTTACTGTTTACACCTCAAATTGTCAGTTGACCGTTTCAAATCTTTTGGAATATTGTTTTGCTTGATATGTCCATCCATTCCGCTGGCAAAAATGAGACGTAAATGAAATATTTAAGAGTTCAGAAGATATTTTGTTTGTAGAGGAACGTTAATAAGCTGATTTCACGGTTTACGTCAAGGGATTATTTAATAGATTCTTTGCTCGCCAGCTGTTATATACCTTTTTATTCCGGTTCTTCTCCTCCTACAATTGATGGTGATGTAAGTTTCATTGATTCTTATTTTTATTAAGTTGCTCTGATTGATTTGAATACCACATTTCTTAAGAAATCTTGGGCGTTGTAGTTTTTTAAATATAATTCAATTTTTAATTTTATTTCATCTTTTGTTTTTTTATTTTAGCAATACATAGATGGCGGATTTACGAATAATTTACCGATATTTGAGGAAATGCCAACAATTACCATTTCACCATTCAGTGGAAGTGCCATTATTGCTCCAAATGATTACGATTTTGTGAAACCATTTCGTGAATGGCGCTTACGGATTGGCACTCAAGAACTAAAGGTTTATAACTATAACCTATTTCGTTACAAATGAGTTCTTTTATTGGAAAAGTTACATTTTCTAATGCTGCGAATTCACTTGCAAGAGCCAGAGACTTTTTGAGATTATTGTGATCGTAATTCATATTTATCATTGTTTAAGCATGCATATTTTACTTTTAGGATAAGATTTTTAGCCAGTTTTTTTTCGAGCTTACTTCAGTAGCAAGAATAGCCACTAACAGGACATAATTATACTCTCAAATATAACAACTTATAATATAACAACTTTCGGATAGTTGCATAATTGATGCAGGAAAACTTGCTTTATTTCTATAGTATCCAGGTAAATGTGCAAAACATGGTTCGAGGTGCTCAGGCTTTATTCCCTCCAAATCTTGAAATCTTGCGAAATTATTATGAAATGGGCCAACGTGATGCGATGAAGTTTTTGCTGAATTTTGGCATTTTGGAACGACAGTTGGGTGATGCCGTTTGATGTGGGTAGTATAGATTTTGAATATATAGGTTTTTGTATAGAAGTACTTCTCTTGCTTCATTTTAATGGTCGTAAATTCCTTTATCTATCCTTTAATTGTGCTGCGATTATTTTGAATCTTGGATTTTTTTTGGAATGGATTTTATGCAGTGTAGAAAAGCTTGATGTAGACTTTAGGTTTTAATATATTTCTTTGTAATTTTAGTAATTAACATGTCAACTTTTAGATTGAGACACTTTTTTGTTGTTTCTAATGCTATTATCTAAAATCGGTGTAATATCTTTTGTTCACATTTTTTGTGTCTTTTTTAGGTTTTTTTGTGCGGGTATTGTATGTTATATTTGAAGTTATATAATGCTTTTATATGTGTGCTATACTTGATGTTACTTATCAGTAAAGGATATTTTTCCTTGTTGTCCGCAGTTACCAATGTTTAAGGGCATTGATTTCGTGGCGATCGAGTTATTTTGATCAAAATTTTCTGACTCAGCGAAACTGTTAAATTTAGTTCTTTTATGTGCAACTATAGATTATGGATTCAGTTCTTAACCTGATACTTTTCACTACCATTGGTACCTGGTGCCTATGTTATGTTTCCACTTTAGGTATGTGTTTCTATATAATCGAAGATGTGAGGTAATGTCCACAATTCAATCGCTCAGAAAAAGAGCTCTTTTTATATTTCGGCTCATTGCTGCCATACTTAACAGAATATGTTGCTGTGTTAAGCGAAGGAAAAATATTGGAGAATTGCCGTATACAGTTGCTCATCAAAGTCCTCAAACGCATTGGAGATCAGGTCATTTCATTTTAAAGATTTGGAGAAGTAAGGAAAGGAAGGGATGAAGTAGGGAAAAGAAAAAAGTCTGTGGTATTATGTCATTGTTTGCAGCTTATTTAAAGGATATAATTCAGATTTTTACACCGTCTGATGCTTTTAATAACCTGGTAGTTTTAATACCTATTTTAGTGTAAAGTCGTTTTTTTTTTACATTTAAATATCGCTTTTCAGTTTCAAATGAAGAAAAATGGGAAGAATGGAGTGGTACTCCGTTTGTCACTTCAATTGAAGAAAAAATTATAGAATACCGTCGTAAAAAGGCAGAATCAGAAGTTGTAGCAGAAGATAGAGATAAAGCGGATTTTTTTAATGATATGCAACCGAAAGTTGTGCAAACTCGGAGGGTCAGCTGCTTTCTAAAATATTCGATAACTACTGCGGACAATTTTGCAATAGAAGCATTGTTTCCATTGGGTCCATTTTGTCTTGTTTATTTGTATTAAAATTTGCAACGAATATTTCTCCTGCACAGTATAGATTATTTAGGAATTTTTATTGAAAAATTTAAATAAGAATTTTTAAGTCTTCTTTCAGGCTTACATTGACAATTATTGTAATGCACCAATTCAAAATAGCAATTTATTTGCTGTGAAAACAGATGAAGTGGTGCCTTCCCACGTAAGTATGCAGAATATTATGAAATGATTTTTATAATATATCTGACATTTCGTCTCTTACAACAAAACTACCAAATTCTCAATTACAATGATTTTGAATGTTGTAAAGATATGTGATTCTCACAACATTTTTTGTTCAGTTAGGCGAACTTGGTAACTTGGAAGATACAAACACATATAATGAAATTGAAGATTGGGAGACTCATATCGATATTGAGAGTGTTAACAACGCACTGCGTGAAGTAAGAGAATTTCATTTAGAAGAACATGGAAATTTCAGATTTTCATACTCACTCCCAGATTTTCATGTATTGTTTCCAAAGCTAACTTTTCAGTTTTAAATGAAATTTGTTCCCGTACTTTACAACCTTTTCTCTACTCATCGTATGAAATTTTGTATAACAGTACCCTCACATTTTGTTTGTTTACCCTATTTCTAAAAATCCGGATTACCATGCGGGAATTGTTATTAATTCTGAACATATACTATTTTCAGCAAAAGGCTAAAGAAAGACAGGAACGACGGTTGGCAAGACAAATGGAGTATGCAAAGCGATTTGAGCGAAGAAAGGAGTGAACTTTCAGTGATAGTCTATTGATGGGTTTCTGTGATCGTTTCTTCTCCAATTTTTTCATTAGAAAAATCTAAGCTAACTAATTTTTCAAAATTTCAAAAGTAAATCGAAATAACGAATGACGATAAGAAAAAGATAGCTTCTGCAGAATTTATGATATGAAGTGATATGCTTCGTCTTAATCACTGATTATGCTACACTGCAGTCAACATTTCTATCAAATTTGTGAATTAATTGCGATATTTATTTGTTTTTGCTTCTTTAATAGCATAATATTTCATTGCGAACTGTTGTGCAATCAGAAATTATTCTATTTAAATGAAAGTAAATGACCGATATATTTATAGGACCATCATTTATAAAGGAGTTACAAAATCCTGGCAGCATTCCAACTGAAATATATAATTAAACTCAAAATGTATGATTGTTTATTCAACTAATTTCCTTATTTATTTAATAGCAATCGTGTAGAGCTAATGAATGAGAATTGAGTTTTACTTTTAATTTGTTTTATTCTTTCGTATACAAATTTCACTGAGGAATATTTATATGTTTAACCACGGTAGGTGATCTTTTAAATTTTATTATTAACATTACATAACTTTTTCTCTCAATTCGACATTGACACCAGCTTCTGTGTACGAATTTATTGATTAAGTGTATTTTTATAGTTTCAAACTTGTTTATCATATTTTTATTTATATCATTTTATAATCTTAACCATTCCTCTTTTGCAGTTATCTTTCTCCTTCTCTTGGCAGCTAAAGAAATTATTTTATTATTAAATCTATTTATTATGTGAATATTGAAGGCAAAAAAAAAGTATGTTTGTTGTAGAAATGTTGCCAGTGGAAAAAGTAAATTAAAAGAGATGAATGTCAACAACGAGAGTGAATGTCAACGACGATTTCAACTAACGTTCATTGATAAAAAGATAACAGCTAAATATTGTCAGAAGGATGATAAATTGACAATAGTAATAGGCATAAAATAAACATTTTAGATTAGGTGTTAAGACAAAAAGAACTATGATAAAATTCAAATTTATATTATTTAATCATTTATTTCATTTTAATTGAGTAAATAACTCTAGAAAGTAAAGAAGAGAACGATCTATTACTACATATCTTTACAATATTCATATCATATCATATCATATCACACACACACACACACACACACACACACAAAAGGCGAAAATTATAGATTTCACTCTGAGATCCTATGGGTCGAGCTAAAAGCTGAAATATTTATTCCATTTGTCCTTAATAATTTCAACTGAACAAAATGTTTACAAATATCTTTGAATAATTTTGGATAAGATTAAATTTCTTATTCTTTTTTTCTTTTGGTTGCTTTAGTAAGTGATTTAATCATATTTGAAAATTTTAAAAATGAAAATAACATTTGAAATGTAAACAGAGTTTATGTTGTTTATGCTTTTTCAATAAACAAATAGTTAATATTATATACATATACATAGAAATTTATTTACAAACATATTTATATAATTGTTTCATTTTCTTTTTATTTTTATAAATCAATATGGTAATATATTTATATTATTTATTGAATTTTTAGTTAAGCCATTTGTCAACAATTTTGATAAATATTAATATATTTGAAGTTGTTATAATTGTTTTGTGATAATTATAGCAAGCCTAAAACTTTAAGGCTTAGAATAAAGAGGATTTATGAATAGATGTGTATGTATGAAGGATGAGAAGACATATCATGTTAGGCTTGTCTTAAAATACATTCAAAAGCATTTTTGAGTGCAAAATGCTGCCTCTCTGATTCAAGCTTTTCTTTTTCAAACATGTATGATATTCTATTGCTTTGTAATGCTGTCATCTTCATTCCTTTTTTTTTGTTCATTCATTTATACCGTTTAGAAAAAAGGTCTTAAGTTAGACCTTAAGTTAGGCCTTAAGTTAAAGTTTAGTTTTGTTCAAAAATTTTACCTCTATTTCTTCCTTACTTACTTTCTCCTTTTATATTATGCAAATAAGAGCAGCTTTGCTTTTGTTCTTTTCATTTTGTAAATCGAAGTAAAAGAAAATAAATAAACAAAAAAATGTTGACAGCAGTAAAGAGAGAAAAAAAAACAATTAGCAGCTATTTGTTTGGCATAATGCTAACTTTGCCATATTCACAATCGAAACATTTTAAACTTTCCCTAACTTAACTTCAATTATACATCATTATTCTTATCAGCAATATTCCTCCTATTCCTGATAATTTCACTCTGCTAAATATTCCTTCCTCCTATTCCTGATAATTTCACTCTGCTAAATATTCCTTCCTCCTATTCCTGATAATTTCACTCTGCTAAATATTCCTTCCTCCTATTCCTGATAATTTCACTCTCCCAAATATTTCTCATAAAACTGTCAACAAAAAGAACTCCGCAATTTTCTAAATTTTTGTTAACAAAAATATATAACGCAAAATGTTTGTTTTCACTGAGAGATCTTTTCCTTTTGCAATTTCTTTCAAAAATTTCCTGACAGTCATAACAGGCCGTATAATTCTTTGTTTCATAATTTCGTCAATTGTAATTTTTATGAGAATAGCAATAATTTTTAATTGTTTAAAAATAAATTGCTAGATGGAATCGATTGGTTGAAATTCGAAATGAATGGAATGAAAAATAAATTTGAGAGAAAGTGAAGTTAATTTTTAAAATAGATGAAATTAAAGTTTTCAATGAATTAGGAATAAATTAAAGAGAGAGAGAGAGGGAGAGAGAGAGAGAGAGTTTAAAAATGAATGAAATAAAATTAAGCCAAATTAAGTCGAATTAATTTTTATGAAATTTTTTGGTTGATATAAAATATTTGATAAATAAAGATAATATTATCAAATTGGATTTATTATTGTTACACGATCGATTGCTATCATTTCTTCTATTTCTTTTAATTTCATATTTCAAATTTAAGAAAAAGGAAAACCGTTGAAATTCAAATTTATTCATTAATTATCGTTAATTAATTTTCGTCATCATTTTATAAGTATCTCATATTTGTTTAAATTCGTTTTGATTTCATACAAATCATAAAAAACTATTTTATTTTATTATCAGATAGAAATTGTATGATCGTTGAATATTTCTCATCCATTTCATAATTTCAAGTTTATTAAACTACAGTTTTATTCTAATCGATATTTCGTTTCTAATTCAAACTACTTTTAGTTACTAATATTTGAAAATTATTTTCAAACTTTCCAATAATTTAAACAGAAATTGTCTTCAGTAAATCCCTCGAGTCTTTAATCCATTTCAACATCCACTAATCCCAAATTGCAAATTGATGCCTGACAGTCAATTAGAGATAACATTTTCTTGAGTGAAATGAAAAATCTTTCGTAATTCTTTTTCCTTATCTGTTCTAATTCCACTTCTTTTCCATTAAGCATAATTTTAATTAACTAAGCAAAAGGGCTCAATGAAACGTTGCTCTTAAATCCATCGATCTTATCGATTAGCTATCAAAATTTCTATCATCTAAAGATCCATCCTATAACAATTATTATCAGGATGACAAATAATCATTTATGAATTTTCAAAAAAAAAAAGAAACGCAAAACTTCGAGCTTGTAGGAAAGCAAATTGAATCTTCAAATGATCGAACTACTCTTATCAATATTCTCATGCTGATTATCATGAATTTTAATTGGAATTTGTTATCATTTCCTAATGTATAATTGGTAGAAGTTGGAAGAGTTTGATTGAAAATTTTCAAAAATTTGATATCATTACTTACAGAAATATTTGTTAGTGCTCACAAAGAATGATATGGGATGTCGGTTTTCGAGAACGAATGATACGGAACCTGAATTTGATTCCGATTCAGCTGATTTAGCATCTGGAATTGTAATTCGGCCACTGTTGGACACAACCGAATATCTCTTTGATTCTCAGTCGATATTAACATCAGATAAAGTGGAAAAATTAAATCCGACCGCAGTATCTGGCGAAGATAGCAGTAGTTGTGATCGAAAAACAATAACTACTCGTATTGATTATATTAAAAACACCTATTCATTGGCACGCTGGGATACATCGATTCGATCAACATTCTGTAATCGAATTACACTTGAACCAAAGTAAAATTTTTGACAAATTAAAATAGTTCAATTTTAAACCGTTAATTGAAATCGTTTATTAAATAACATTTTGAAATGATAAATTAGATTTTATCATCTACCTATTGATATCTGCCATTTAATAAACTTTTCATTTTAATTCGCTAATTGGATTTTTATTACTTTTCGTTCTCTAATGCTCGCCGATTATAACCTCATTCTTAGGTTACATATATTTTAAATTTCTTAATTTTTTTTTGACAGCTTGAATTCTAATTATAAATGGAGAGATGAATAAATAAGGAGTGCTTTAATGACGTGTTGTTAAAATATTAATTTCAGAATATCATCAGATGCAGAAGTTCAGGAATCGAATACTGTTTATTTCAACAAACCAATAAAGTAATTTTGAGATATTTAAATAAATTTTTTTTCAATAATTTTCGAGATCGAATCCTTGACCTTAAAAACAATTGTAAAATTATTATTATTATTTGAAATTTAATTTGAATTTGTTTTGAAGATTAATATTTAAATAAAATGCTCAATAATAGTTTTTAGAGAGATTAAAAGCATCAGCCAGGTTGATTTCTTTCGAATGCTCGATGAAAAAATTGCTCAAGTAAAATTTTCCATTTGAATTATCAAATTGTAACGTGGTGTGTTTCTTGCGTCAACTTCATAGAACGAAACGATCATGATATAATCATTTAAAGTTTAGTAGATAGTCATAAAATTAGCATACTGTAGAAATATTTTAGGAATCAAATCACAAAATATGTAGTGGTCAATGTGTTATGAAAAGCATAAAAAAGTAAATTACTTTATATTGATAGAATTAACACTTGTTTTTTTATTAGTCACAACAATAAAAGGACGAATTCTAAAACTCAGGTCGAAAAATTAATGAAGTAATTGTTTTGATATGAACAAGAATCTAAGAAATCATTTTGATATGAGCTAGAATCTAAAAATTAAATCTAAAAAAAAAAACATTTATTTCAGGGACCTGGCGATTTAATTGAATCTGATGTTGAGAAATGATATATTTATAATCCTTTCAACATAAATTCCAATCTTCCAACCTTTCAAGAATATAAAGGAATGTAAAGTTTCAACTTCAATCAAATATCAAAATCAAATTTTCGTTTTTTTTTTTGTATACTACTTAATTAGATTCCTCGAATGTCTCATTCAATTTGAGGAGTCATTATGGCTCTTAAATTCAATATGAAATTGTTGTGACAATCGCATTCATTTAATTGTTAGATTAGTATTCCAGGATTTCTAATTTTTAGAGAATCAATTATGTTGCAACGAATTTTTAATACATGTGAAAATTTTCAAGATCATCAATGAGAGATTGTACTTCTAATTCTTAATTCAATAGCTATTAAAAAATAGCTATTAAATTAAGAATTAGAAATACAACGATCGAAACAATTTAATGTTGAAGAATACGGGAATTTTCAATAATATACAACATCTTTCTTTTAAGCCATAAATTATTACTTTGAAATTTCCAATTATTGTTCTTTATTTATTCTAGCCAGATGAATATCTTTATCTTTCTCGAAATACACCATCCTATAGCACTTGCTATGATGATCTTAATAATTCATTTAATAATTCAAAGCAAGAATATCATGGAATGTTGAAATACTATTTGAAATGTATGTCATACGCTTGTTGAAAAGAAAATGAAGAAAAATTGCATCGATGAAAATATAATTCAAAATTATTTATTCTAACGATTTAATCAATTAACAGTAACAATTCGATTTCATTATTGAAAACAAAAGTAGTGAGTATAATTTAAATTAAATTATCGGTGCGAAATTAATATGTTTGTCACGTGGTTTCAATGTAACACAATATTGATGAAAGAATGGTATTCCGAGTAAAACCGCATTTTCATCAGCACGAGCAGTTCTTTCACTCACTGTGAACGCAAGTTCGCACAGCGTATCGTCCGGCTGGAATATTAATTTTTACGATATTCTTTCCGGATAATATCGAGAGATAATATCGATTAACCATTAAGAAGTATTAAATGAAAGAATAAACTTCAACAACATTTACTGGTAATGAAATAAAATTCGATTATTATGTCGTCACTACGGATGGAATATTTTTAAGGTTAATGAAAATTTGAAATGGATTTTCGTCTTTGTCATTTAGAGATTAGGAACATACATTATGTTTGATAATGAAATGTTCTGGCGGAACGATGTAAGTGTTATGATTGGTGGATATCTCGAATGGTTCGAATGGTTGCTCACAACGTATCATATATTTCTTCTCCGTTTTTGAAACTTTCTAAAATACTTTCATATTAAAGAAACAACAAAATCCAGTATTTAACGAAATAAATTAAATTAAGAGCGAAATTAATAGAGTTATTAAATCATTAATAATACCAACCGTTGCATTAAGATTCTTAACGATTTTACGAAGGAATTTATTAGGAAGACCGATATACGGCTCAATAGTATTCAGATAAGCAAATGATTTCATGGAGAATGCCAAATCGCCCATTTTGATGGAATTATATTCGAATTCGTAACGATTTCCGGATTGATCAGATGGGCGAGGGAAAAAACGGAGATTACGCAATGATGGCGATATAATGCTTTCACAGTACAAACGAAACGGTTTAATAGTTGCATAGTTCAAACGGAGCGGTTCTGTGGTTTCGTAGTTCCAATCGCATGACTCATCGTTACGCCCATCAAACGTTAACATCGCTTTGTTATCAGAAACCTATATTTTCACTATTATTAATATTATGTATTCTGTTCAATCATAACTTCAGTTGCATTTAGGAGAGTTCTTTGTAGGAAAAAATAATACCACGCGCTAATTGCAAATTCGTGGGAAATTTAGCCAATGATAAAACGGAAAAAACAAACATTTCTCATCAGGTAAGCAGTTATCTCTCAGGTATTAATTATTCGCTTTCCATCAAATTACATAAATATGATCGATATAATTTCAATTCCGCAGATATTATGTTAATAAAATGAAAAAGTGAAAGGTTAATTTACCAATGGTGGCAATGCAATGGTAACAAACGGATACATTTGATCACTCCAGATAGCAGCTTTTACTGGATTACTTACAATAGATCTGTTAGAAAATGATTGGCAGAAAACTCCAGATGGAATGCCATTAACATGGAGCCCTGATAAACCAAGTACACCATCAGTTTTTTGATAATCATCCCATTTAGACCATTTCAAATTGTTTACTATACCGAATGGAGATCTTATGAAACTTAGTTGGCTTGCATCTGTTAAATTGAACTGAAAAAATATTTTCTCAAAATTTTATTTAGTATTGCGAAAATATTTTTTTTGATAACGGATTAATCTATTTGAAAGTATCGTTGTTATTAACAGGTGAATTACACAAAACACTTTAGCTGCAAGCTTCGACGATAATTGAAGTAAAATTAATTTAATAATATCATTTTTATCATTTATTATCCATAAGTGAGAAAAAAGCTATCAGGAAAGAATACCATGATATCATCCCTGCGGTCGAACAGTTCAACTGTTCTGGAACCGTAAGTTTGTTTTAGGTAAATTACATCAGTCATAGAAGAAGTTGCCGATTCCCAATCCGAGTAAGTTTTCATTTCCTTCGAAATTATCTGGCTACAATTTAATGAAGATAGTCTGTGAAACCTTTAACAGATTTTCATCTGTTAAAAGTTTTCATCTTTATTAAAAATTCTCACACCCTACACTTAAAAATTTGATCTTGCTCTTTTATAATAAGTTTTGGAATATTTCTACAAATCATAACCTATTTCCAGATATATGGATGATGAAAAGAAGCAAAAAGCTGAACATACTGATATGAAGGAGGAAAAACCCAAAGAAATGCTGTAACAGTATCCAAAAGTAGAGAGAACTCCTTTTTCGATTCACCGA